CGGTCTAGTCCCGGTCTAGTCCTCTATGAGAGTAAAAAGGAAACCCTAAGGCTAGATTTTAGGCTCTGGGAAAAGGGAAAGAAAGAAAGGCCTCAAAATTGAGGTCAACAGAATGAGACATGTTGGAAGCTTCATGGTAAACCAGCAAATTTAAAATCAAAATCTAAACTTGGAAGTCATGTCAACCAAGCCGCTGTTGATGAATTCACGAGTCTTCTACCAACTCAGATGCAATAGTATTCATTAAGGAGCAATAAGAGCACCTGGATAAGTTGTCTCAATCTCCAAAATTATCGCTGGCCCCATCTTGCTCTTTAATACAGAAGTGTAACTCTCTAGTTGTTGAATTGTTATGTGTTAACTCTAAATTTATTCATTCTTGAATAATTGATTCCGATGCAACTGATCATATGATTGGTTGTTCAAAATTATTCTCATTTTACAGACTTTGTGCAAGCAATAAATGGGTCAAAATTCATTAGCCAGAGATAGCAGTGTTCAAAAAATTCTGGAGTAGGTTAAGGCAAACAGTTTGAAGAAGGTCTGTATTAGACAAGATGACTTATTGAAATATAAAGACAGAGTTTATGTTTCAGAGGTTGATAATTTGAGACGGGAAATTCTTAAGGAGGTACATTTATCTAGCTATACTATTCACCCTGAGAGTCATTAAATGTACTGGAATCTTAATGAAACACTTTGGTGCCCGTGATTGAAGAGAAGCATGATAGAATTTGTGTTTAAGTGTCCTACAAGTCAGCTAGTGAAGGCATAACATCAACATTTTGGAGGTTGGTTATAGCCTTTACCGATTCCAGAGTGAAAACGGGAGGAGATTTTTATGGAGTTCGTGATTGGGTTGCTTGGATCGCGTCAAGATTGTGATGCTATTTAGGTAATTGTTGATAAATTAAGCCTGCCCATTTCTTCCCCATTAGACGAACATATCTTGTTGAGTAATTAGTCAAATTATATGCGGATCAAATTGTGAGATTGCATAGAGTGACAAAGTCTATTGTCTCCAAAAGAGATGACGAATTTACTTTTAGATTGTGGAAGAAGATTCAGGAAACCTTCGGTACCAGATTGACTTTCAGTACAATCTTTCACTCTCATTCTGATAGCCCGTTAGAAATGCTTATTCAAATTTTGGAGGATCTACTAAGGTTATATGTTCTTGATTTTGGTGGATGATGGGAATCAAATATACCTTTAGTAGAATTCACTTACAATAACAATTATCAGATTAGTATTGAGATAATTCTATATGAAGTTTTGTATGGTAAAAAAGTGTAAAACACATTTATGTTGGGTTGAAATAGGTGAACGAAAGATCATTGAAGTTGATGTCATTGAAAAGTTTAGTTTGATCAGAGGCAGATTGAAGGTAGTGAATAGTAGACAAATGAAATATTATGATGCTAAGCACATACCAGTGGAGTTTGAAGCTGAAGAATTTGTCTTTATCAAAGTTAGTCTTTGAAGGGTGTGCAAAAATTTGAGAACAACAAGAAAAATGAGCCCCAGACATATTGATTCATATGGGATTGTTGAGAGGATTGAAAACGTGGCAAATAGATTGACTTTACCAGTTCATTTGCAAGGAGTACATAATGTTTTTCACATTTTTTCACTGAGAAAATATATTGCAAATGAGTCTAGTAGGTTGATATCCGATTGAGTTGATATTCATCCTGATTTGACATATTGAGGAGCCTGAATGAATGTTGGATTATGATTTAAAGAAGTTTCGTAATAGAGATGTCCCATTTGTTAATATTTTTTGGAAGCACATATCAAAGGATAGTGCTTTGGGGAAATTTTTGATATGTAAGAAAGATATTAACAACTTTTCATTTGAGGTATGATTTCTTTCATGATTATTTTCAAATTTCGAGGATAAAATTTTTATAAGGAGAGGAGATTGAAATAAATGAAATAAAAAAATAAAAAAAATCGGTTCAACATATAGCCATCAAGTGGTTCGACTATTGGAAGTCGAAGGGGTCTCTTTTCGTTTATAGCCTACGAAGATCGGGTGAGAACAAGAAAGAGAGGAGAGTGGAAGAAATAGAAGGAAGGCATGGTTGTTTCTATCCCTAGCTTGCGGTTTCGTTGAGGAGTTTCAAATCCGACACCAATGCCAAGCTGACGAGAAGCCGTCGTGCCCTAATACGAAAGAAGAAGGGCGAGGGAAACCATGTCAACAACAAAAGTAAAAAAAAAAGAAGAAGAAGAAGAAGAAGCCGAAGGAGGAAGGATTGTGCGACTTTTCCCTACCATGTGACACATACTGTGCTCGATCGACCAGGAGCTGTGAGGGAGGAAATTGGTTTGCCGTTAGGGTTGCGGTCGAGACCCCATGCCTAGCCATGTGAAGGAAGGGAGGAGGCGGTGTTGTGTTGGTGTTAGAGTCAAGCCACACTCGAAGGAAGAGAAGCTCATTCCCTTTCAGAGAAGAAGAAGCTTACGTACTGCGAGAAGAGAGAGCTTGTGCGTGCGTGCGTGTGTGCTCGGACGAAGGATTTAAAAGTAAGTTTAAGATTTTTAATTAAATTAATAATGTGTGTGTGCACACGCGTGTGAATCTGGACTCTAAGTATAGAAACTTCAGCTTGAACGGAGAAAAGTTGGTGAAGTGTGCGAGCTAAGGGAGGAAGGAGATCAAATAGAGAAACTTATAAGGTAAATATCAATAATTATGTTGTTATTAGAATAAATGATAGACTTCTTTAAATTAATGTTATTGAATTTTATTCAACTATGACGTGTGAAAGAAGATTGATAAAACTTTGCATTTATAGGAAGAAGACAAATAATTTTGAAGTGAAAAGATTTTACTTCTTTTAATCATAAAATAATTACATAGTTAAATTACTATCGTTCTTTAAATATTACTGTAGGAAATTTATGAGTTTTAATTAGGGTTGTTGATGTAAAGGTGCAAAGAGTGTTAATTAAAAAATAAGCGGAAAGAGAAAGGCATTCAGGCTTCAGTTAAGTAATTATTTTCTTGCATGCACTAAATTAAGGTGTTATTAAATAAAGAACTGCATTATTACTTCATAGAATGCTTTTATAATCGAAGACACTGTGGTTGATTTATTACTTTTTATTGGCTCTTTTATATATATTGGAAGACTCTGAAAATTAGTGGAAAGTAAATTAAATGTTAATATCGTCCGACCACTGTTCCTGACTTGGTTAATTCTAAGCTATATGGTCGGATCATGACATTCTTAGTCCGCCTAAACTTTTTGAGGGGATTGTGATAGGAAAAAAAAGAAGTTTCACGAAGATTAGGGCTACAAAATATTTTATTTCACCAAACAAAACAACACATCCCGAATACATGAAGGATAAACACCTACAATTCGAGATGTAGGCAATATCTCCCAAACCCAAACCTTAATACCTATAATTCGAGAGGTATTCAATCTCTACAAACTCTAACCTTAAGATGCAAGATAACAATCACAAATAACATTTAGCAATAACATATTAAACTATATTTATGCCCCACAATAATAAGTAACAAAAGATTAAATTGCCCTTTTAGCCTTGTGCCTAGAATATGATTTCAAATTATTTGGCGAGCTCCTTGTGACAAAAAACATCGTAGGTTCCTGTCTAATATTACTCCCCTTCCAATAAGACATATTGTCCTCAAAGTGGCTGGGAGCTACGGTTTTGCGTGAAATTCTATGATTTTTTTATCATTTATTATAGGAAATAGAGTCTCTTTTCTATGGACAAGAACCACCCCTCCATGGCTTAGAAGCGCCTCTCCTATTCATAATTGATCAGACTCACCTCTTCTTCTAATTTTTCCTCCAGCGCATCTATTTTCTTGGCCACCATTACTCTCAGGACTGTTGTAGATTACGAAAGCAGAACTCTTATATGCCGCGATCCTATCATTGGCTTCTTAGGCTCAAATCGGGACTATATCAGTTCAGTCACGTAGTCGGACGGTCTTGCCGATCTGAAGTGTATCATGATCGCATCATTGGCTAAGTAGCGACCGTATCACGATATTTGGTCACAGAGCGCCATGATGGTACGCCACGATCCGATCGTTGGCTCTGATATCGATTTGATAGAAAATAGATGAACTTCCACAGAGATTAAGACAAAAGAAATATTTTATTTCATTAACATCGAACAACACAACTCGAATACATAAAGGATAAACACTTATATTTTGAGAGGAAGGTGATCTATCCCAAATCTTAAATCTAAAATTTAAGACAACAATCATACATAACATAACCCTAAACATATAAGCTCTATTTATGCTCACAATAATAAATAAAAGAATGACTAAATTACCCTTTTAGCCTTGCGTCTAATATAAAGTCTTAAACTTATTTGGGGGGTTCGGGGTCGGTCTATTAGATTGTACGTGATTATGGACATTATTAGACTTCTATGGTAAGAGGTGTTACACATGACAATGAATGCCCATAATGGCATGATTTTATGAATAAACCATCTTGCATGATTTTTACTCAATTTTCTTATGTTTGCCCGAAGTATTTTTAATAAGAAAAAACTGTATAACCAATCAATTTAGACTGGCCATTGAAATTTATCATCTCTGCTGAATTTTTGTTCGATCGTATCACTAAAACTTTCTCATTGAGAGTTGATGTTATGGGAGGATTCATGGCTTCATGAGTGACATTGTGCTATTTTCAATGTACGGTAGCATTGGTTTTGTGGAAAGCCGAAGCCACCTGTTTAGTAGGCTAAGTTCCCCAGATATACAAGTAACCGGTAAAATATTATTTGCTACTGAAACTTTTCCTTTTATAAAAGCACACGATTAGTTGTTCACCTGTAACGTCATAGATAGTTGTTTATTTTTTGGTTCAATTCTCTATTTTAGCGAAAAATGCATTACTGATGTTTATTGTTCTACTTGTTTTGAGAAGTTATTATGTACTTTCTATTATTTACTAATGCAAAGCCATTTCTTCTTGAATTTTCTTCTACAGGCCTGTGCTTTATGTCCAATGAATTGGTAACTCTTCTCCACTCATCACATTAAATTGTGTTTTTTTTTTATTGTACGTTTTATAGTTTGTCAAACAAACCATACTTCATCGTATTCCCCTGCAAGTGCTTTCTTCTGTCTTTGCTCTACTGCCTTTTCTCAGATGGGTTATTGTTTCTGCTTTCGTTGTAGTCTGGAAATATTTTTCATGATTTTCTAATCATCGCCAACTCAAACATGCATATTATTCCCTTACAGTCTACGCTTTGTTAAAATGCATGCACTGCTGAGAAGTGTTCGCATGTTCAATTCTAGCTTGGGGAAATTAGAAGGCAGTTTTGTTACTTCTTTTTCTATGTAGAGTGAGTTTCTGTTAGTTATCTATATTTATGGATTGTTAAAACAGAAATATGAAACATTAATGCATTTGTGTGCCTTTAGATGTTTGCCATTATCATGCATTTATGATAAAATAATTATTGATCCCTTTTTTAAGTCAATCATATTTTCTTATCCTTTTAACTCTAATGCAACGAATTTATTGTTGAATTACAATGGATTAATAATGGTACCTGTGAATGACAAGTTTGGTTCATTTTCCAGGTAATGGAAGGTGTTGTTTATATGAAAGTGGAAGGGATTAGTTTGGTGCAGAATTTTAAAATATATGAGATAAATATATGACCAAACTTCTAGATTGCTTCATTGTGGATGAGAATTGTTTATATTCAATTTAAATTGCAGTACTTTGAACTGAAGATAGATTATACATTTGACTTCAGGACACTTCCTTATTGACTGAAGATAGCTTTAAAAAGTTGCAAATATCTTTTTTAAGTTAGCCACGATGCTCGTCTTAATTGAAATGTATTTTTTATATTGTTAATAATAAAACCTGTTTGTTGCTGAAGCACCAATTAGAAATCTCCAATGACCTGTGATAAATAATTTAAACGTCATTTATTCCCACGCTTTTGCAATTCTACTTTTTCATATTTGTTTGGTTTCATCCTCAACGTCATATTTGTTCAGATGCTAACAAGGAATTTTTCTAAGGGATGTATATATATATGTTCAATATTAGATAAACATTATGTATGGATTTATGTGAAGGTGTTGACTTCTGATTAAGTTTGGGTATAATCCTTGAATGTACATTGCATTAAGTTCCAGTATGGCGATTAATAGAAAGTAATAATGACTTTTTGTTTGTTCTTTAGTGGTTGTGAACATAGGCTGGATAATCTCACTAAACTGCCGTGTCTTTTTTTATTAAATCTTCTTTTGTAGTATTTTTTTGTTTCTTGTTTTGCAATTTTATTATTTTTGTATGGACGGAGGGTAGATTAGATTTTGATGGAGTCTTTCATGCAATCTGTGACTTGGCGGCTCTTTGGGTTTTAAAAGCTTTTATCCATGCTAGGCAATAATCAGGAGTAGTTGATTTTATGTAGGCTCGAAATTATGAGTTCAAAGGAAATTGATGTATGGTTTTTAAGGCTCTCACGTGAGATTATATTGTCGAGTGGAAATAGTTTCATGTTAAAACTGAACAAAAAGTGTCAAGTTCATAATATTCTAGAAGTGATAACTTTTGGTAGGGCTATAAATGAATCAAACCAAGCTGTGCGAGAGCTTGCTTGAGCTTGAGCTCATTTGCAAAATAGAGCTCGAGCATATATAGAATATTTGTGATAGTTTAAGGGTTGTTTTCTTAAAATTATGGTTGTTTGAGTTTGAGATGAGCTTGGTTTCTAGCTGAACTACTTTCATTAAAATTTAAATACTTAAATCCTAACATTTTTATTTGTTATACTTAGCTATTTTACATTTCAATTATACCACAACTTTATTGTTAACGAAATATTTATTAATAACCCACATACATAAAACTTGATAAGTTTATTCGATTTTCATTGTATTTTTTTAAATTGGTCAATTTATTCTAATTTTAATAAAAATAATATTAACCAATTAATATTAAATTAATTTTTCACATAAAACTTATAAATTTTTGTTATATATAAAATCACGCATACAATATCTGCACAAACTAATGTCCCTAATCTTATTTTACCTAATTCGCTTGCCTTGGTTTGAATGACCCCCCTTCCTACCTCTCCATATTGCAAGCAAACCTAGCCTTTTTGTCAACCTGCCTTGACCATGACTCTCATTCCTACCATGAACACCTTCAATGCTTGAGTCTGTTCGATCATTAGTGTCCGCTTGCTTGATCCCCATCCTTTCTTTTGCTCACCCCGTTTCTTCTTCCCCATTTTGTCTCGCTCGCATGGGTCCATCTTCCCCCACGCCCTCTCTTTTTCATCCCTTTTAAACATGGAATTGTTAGCATCGGTTTAGTTGAGCACGTGTTAGACCATTCTAATACTTTTCTTTTAATTTGTGGATGTTACACGAGCCAATTGTTGGTTATCTGAACAAGTATTGTTGATCTTATTAACGAGCAATTTTTTTGTCTTAAAAATGAGATTGTAATATTATTGACTTTGTAAATAAACAAGCATTTTTAACAAACATGAACACTTGGGTTGTGTTTATAAACAAAAATAATCTAATATAAAAAATAATAGGACAACCACATAATGACATTAGATAAATTTATAATCAAGTGTTTAATGCACATATTGTATCAAATTTTAATGATTTTTTTCATAATCTTTGAATGATCTTATTCATGACATAAAGAGATCAAACACTAAGTTGTTCAAGCTTATTCATTTAAAAATCAAATATTTATGAAAGTGTTAATATTTATTCGATTAGTTAATTAATAAATCATAACTGAGATCTAATCGTGCTATGCCATGGGTTTCCTGTCAAGTTAATTGGTTTTTTTTCGCAATTCTACCTTTTAGCGGTTGGATATTCATCAATTAATATATTTGATTTCAATTTGTCCTTGAACAATTGGTACAAGGGAGACTTATATGGTTTGAAGGGAGGAATGAGAGGAATTGCAATTGCAATAGTTACTAATCGAATATGTCCATTCAATGAGTTTCATAACATTCAACTATGTTGTGCTATATCATTTTTATGTCTATGGTATTTTATTTATACATTTGTAACAAATCACCATCAGTTTTACCAATTAAGATGCTTTAATATCAATAATCTTTTTTAAATTGTGTGTATACGTACCTTTGCGTTTTCAGCTAGTACCACAAGTGGGTGAACTCCATCATATTCAATATTACATCATATTCAATATTTATCATTTATATTTTTATATCTTTGAATATATAATATCTTATAAAAGTTATATAAAAACTTATCATATTGAACTACTTGAAGCATTCATATCGATATGATTAATAATATTGAATAGCAAATAAACCAAAATAATATTACCAGTGTATTAATTAAGTTCTATAATTATTCATACAATTGGTTTAGAAGAAACCAAAACTACTGCTATAATTTAGAAGTAAGAGTACTCACAAAAAAATATATATTTGTAATTATTGTACCCCAATTCACCTACAAAATCAAACTCGAACCCTTGTATATATTGCTACAAATAAACCCTATATTAAAATATATATTTAAGAATGTAATATTATTTAATTTCCAAAAAAAGTGATTATTTTATTTACCTAGTCTTTCTTATGCTCATTTAATAAAATATAATAATCCATTTTAATTCTTCTATTTTGCTTAGCAATAATAATGATGCGGGGCCTATGGGGGCCCGCCCGATCCTCAAAGGGAGGAGAGGCTGCCGCTCCTCTCTTCCTTTTTTCTTTCTTTCCTTCCCAACACTTTCCAATTTTAAATCTTTTCCTAAATTTTGAAGTCCTTATTACATTTTATTCTCTTTTTCTATTTTTAATTTTTTCTTATTTTAGGTCCTTTCCAAAATCTGAATTTTGATTACTTTATCTACAATTTCCTAAATCTGATTTCCCTCACTTTATTTCCTTATCAAATCCTGATTTGATTTTTTTTTCTTATTTCAGGTATTTCCCAAAATAAAGTTCTGGCCTCATCATGAATAGAGTATGTTGTGCATAGAGTTAGGAGTTGTTTTGATATTTGAATTTAGGTTTTAGCTTTGGTATTTTCTCTTCATGGGATGTATCTGATGTCGAGGTTGTGCTTCGGCTGTCCCTCTTCCGAGGTGGTGATCGTCTTGGGTCTGGGTGATGCTCCGGCTGTTGTTTAACCCCGACGAGATATTTATCTATCCTTCCACTTTTTCTGTTGTTGTACACCCGCTTCCCAGCTCTACAACAAGCGATCACACCTCTTCCCCAACAACCGCCGGCTGTTTTCCTCCCTCTAAACTGTTGCTAGCCTTCTCTCAGCAAGGCCACACATCCCAATACTCCATTCCAACCCTCAGCCACCCTTTCTGAACAACCCAAACTTGCTGTCCATCTGCTTAGAATCCCTCCCAACACTTAGCAGACCCACTTTCAGCAGTCTAGTTTGTTGTCCAGGCTTTTCCCATCGTTGCTAGTGTTTCCCCGCTTGTTGTCCACCCTTCGAAAGTGCTAACAAGGCTTCCTTGCTGCTGCCCTACCTTCCCAGCTTGTTTAACCACCCTCTAAACCTTGTGAGCTCCTCTCCCACATTCACACTTGCTGTCCCAAGTCTCCGGATCCATTGGGCCAACATTCACCACCCTTGGGATACACTTTCGAGGTGTTGGCTCTGTGTCTTTGTGTTTGTTTGTCGTTTATTTCATGATTTGAATAGTCATTGTAACCGATTTCAAATTCAATAATAATATTTGTGTTTCTTGTAGTTTGGGCTTTCTCCTTTGGTATCATTTGGTGCCAGAGTTAACCCAACTCTAGTCTCATCCTAAGTTTTTTAGCGTTTGCCTCTACCCAATCGATCGCACCAAAAAATTTTCCTTCTTTCATTTATTTTTTTCTCGTCTTTTTTTTTTGTTTTTTCTTTTCTTTCCTTGCACAGGTCCAAAACCTTAGTCATGCCACTAATGAGATATATGCCCGAGCTTACCTGGGAAGAGATACGACGAGAGATCTGCCGAC